GGGGTTATAGATTACTTTAAAACTTTCAGCCTGTTTCGTTGAAATCCTATCCATAGTGTGCAGGGACTAACTTCACAACACAGCACATATTTTTTACATGTTGTGCATACACTTATGGCATGCACGAACTTACCTTGATAGTGGGTGGTTGGTGGGTGCTCTGGTGTGGTTTGCTTCTCCTTTCCTATAAAACATCTATCATCCTCATCTCCCCTTCTTCTTTTTTTATGTTTGTTACTCTCTTGTAACACCTCTAATCTGCTGGCGCTCATAATATGACCTTATGCAGTTGCGAGCGCCGTAAAACCTCTACTAAAGCAAAACAAATATCTTAACAAACTGAGGAGAGATGACAGGAGTACCGAGTACTGGGATGTACTCTGATGGAGTAGGGTGGAATTTATCTTTATGATGGGTTTGTTGCTTTTATTTTTTATTTATTTTTCATGTCTGCATTAATTGCTCTTTCTTGAAAGTCTGGCTCTTAGCATGTCTCTATTTTTCTCTCTGTTGACATCTCTGATTGGACTGCTATTTCTTTTGCTTTTGAATGCATGGGAAGTGATGTGGATTGGACCATGTTGTGAAAGTGATTCAATTCCCTGTTAGAATATGTCAAAGAATGGTTTTGTATCCAAGTCCCAAAGGCAGAGATGGAAGTGCCTGAAATCACGAGTGTGTTTGGTTATGCTGTCTGCATTATCATTTTGTTCCCTCTCTGAGTTGTTTCGCCCCCGAGTCTATTGATTGATAGAACAGTAGAAGTAGTGGACTTGTTTGATTTGTAATTTACTGACATTCAAGCTGGTAATACAATAAAATATATATATGTGGCACAACGTGGTGGGAATCAGGCGCTCGTCAATTTTTATGCATATGGGGTTATTGGTATTATCTTAAAGCCTGTTCATTTGCCTTGCTTTTGGTGAAAAAAAATAATACCCATCTATGTTGAATAGAAGTCGAGATATTTGCAAATTAAGGGGGTGAGGTTGCCTGGTTTCAATGATAAAATTTGCGAGAAAATGGCTGTCAAAGTTTGGTTACTCGAATAGCTAAAGAGTCCTTGAAAATTGAAAAATTACATAATTTGAGCCTTAAATCAAAAGTTTTTCAGTAATATTCACTAGGATATGTGTTTTTAGATGAACATAAAAGAGGTTGAGCCTAAAAACAAAAACTTGATAAAAATGGCCACAAACTGACAGAAAAATGCCTGTTTCTCCGATTTAGTTATTTTGACGAGCACCTGATTTCACCATGCTGCCTCACATATTTGTTGATCACGGTGTTTTGTTTGTTCACACCTTGGGGCAAGTAAACGTCTTCTAGCCCGATGACATCTTTTTTAATGTTCATTTGACAACAATTTCAGAGGACAGCCAATCGTATAAGTGGGTGGTTGGCGGATGCTCTAGTGTGGTTTGGTTCTTCTTTCCTATCAAACATCTATCATCATCTCCCCTCCTTCCTTTTTGTGTTTGTTACTCCTTTGTAACACCTCCAATCTTCCTCACTTATATGACCTCATTGTGTTGCAAGTGCCGTAAAACTCTTACGAAAAAAATAAGTTATATAAAGCTTCAGGAACTTAGCTAGAAATGCTGAAACCAAAAGAAAAGCCCATAAGCTACACACATCCTCAAGTGGAAATGAAGCTTTGAAATGCTCAAAATGAGGCAGACTCCTCCAAGCCGGGATTGATCTCATTGGTCATTGTAGAAGCGGCATATCATCATATGTGAGGCAGCGTGGTGAAATCAAGCACTCGTCAAAATTATGAAATCTATGATATCTGCATTATCCTCTTGTTTGATAATTCTTTATCTGATTTTTGTTTTTTCGCTCAACACATTTTATGTTCATTTTAAAACAAAATTCTGTGAGGATTTTACTGAAGAACATTGATTATAGGCACAACAAATGGAATTTTTCAGTTTCTGAAGACTCTCAAGCTTTGGAAATCACTAAAATTTGGCAGCCATTTTCTCACTAATTTTACCTCCGAAACCAGGTGACCCCGACCTCCTTCAATCGCAAATATCTCAACTGCTTTTCAAAATAGGCATGTATTTTTTTCATCAAAAGATGGTCAAATAAACAAGTTTTAAGATGATACAAATAACTTCATATGCTCCAAAATTGACGAGTGCCTGATTCCACCATGCACTGACACATATTTGTCTTTTCTTCTTGTTTGCTTTAGAAATATTCTTCTCCACAGATGCTTTGGTGATTGTTAGACATTGATGGACAAATTTTTACAAATTTTATTATTATGACTGGATGCAAATTGAATTATTTTATCATGTATTGTTTAGAAATGCATTTTTTAAAAATCAGTAAGCGAGGGAATTGGGGATGCATGTGTGGTCACTGTTCTCCTGACCAGTCTGTCTCTCGTCTTGCTGCAGCTCGGTTCCTACATTGACTTCATGGCAGCCAAACTGGAGACATGTCGCACCCAGATTCTGGCTCTGGAGAAGAAGGTGAGTACACAGCCACTGCACACGAACCCCAGATTTCTGAGCCGCTGACAGGTTCTGACGAAAAGTTTTTGGGGCCATTCTAAATAATTTGTTTGATATAATACTGATATGTGAAGAAGAGGCGGATGGGTGGCGGGTGCTCTGGTGTGGTTTGCTCCTTCTTTCCTGTCTAACATTTATCATCCTTATCTCCCCTCTTTCTATTTTATATTTGTTACTCCCTTGTAACACCTCTATTCTTCTGCACTTATATGACCTTATTGTGTTGCAAGTGCCGTAAAACACTTACTAAAACTGAAAAAAAAAAAAAAGAAGCTGAAAGTCCTGCTTACTCTTGGTGCCTGAGTTTGTCCCTTTCTACTAGGTGAGTGGTTGACAGATACACTCGGCTATGCTGCATTACCCTTCTTTTTATCTTACTGCTTCATTCCTGATTTGCTTCCTGGTGCTAAAACTATCCTCATTCTTTTAACGCTTTGCCATCACCAAGCTCATATAGTAAAAAAAACTCTTGCCATCTAAAGAAAGGGCATTTTGGGGCAATTCCAAAGAAACTGGGTGGTAAACATCGCCGATCGGCGAGATGTGACGGCAAAGTGTTAACAGTACCATGAAATCTTTTCTCAGATTTGTTTGCTAACCTATCATTGTTGTAGGATGCAGGGCAATCATAAGAAGAAGTTGTTGTTTTTTCTTTCTGGAATTATCTTGCGGTCTGAAAACTTTCCCTCTGTGCCTTGAATTGTCTCCAATAGTTCTGTGTATTGAAGCACTCCTGTGTGCCCCTGTTTGCTGCATGACTACAGTCAACAAAGTGGGCATGATTCTGATTCTGTGCACGGTTGCATGATGATAGTATTTAAACCAGCTGTCAGTCTAAATAACAGACTGGAAATGTGGCCAACCCCACTGACACTACAAGAGAAGCTATACGAGCCGACAGATGAACTATGCAGGACGGCCCAATTTAAGACAGATACCAGACTTAACGTGTGATGTGATCAAGAAAAAGGAAAAAAATCTATCTAAATAATTACAGGGCTATTTCAGGACCATGAGCTCGTAGTCCATTCTGCAAAAAATGCCTCTGGTTTTAGAGGTATAAAATCAGCTGTGGTATTGAGTGCTCGTGATCGTGGATGATTGGCGGGTGCTCTGGTGTGGTTTGCTTCCTCTTTCCCATCGAACATCTATCGTCCTAATTCCCTCTTCTTCTTTTTTATGTTTGTTACTCTCTTGTAACACCTCTATTCTTCTGGCGCTCCTATGACCTTATGCAGTTGCGAGCGCCGTAAAACCTCTACTAAAACTAAAGTGCTCGTGATCCATCTTATGTGACATCACTTATGTTACTGGCACGGAACTGACTGTGGATTCTGGATAGAATCAGAGAATCACTTTGAGTTTTCGCTTCCTTGATATTCACTCATGTGAATTTGCAGAGTATCTGTAGTATGTTTAAAAAATATTTTTTTAAAGTGTCCTTGTCTTTTGCAGATTTTTTTGGGTGTAAAATGAAAAAGAAATGAGGCAAAAATACTCTTTCCAATAAAAATCAATTGACCATATATTGAGCTTGCATTTGAAAAAGACTTTAGAATTTCTATAATGGAACTGAAAATGCATTGTAAGCTATAGTGTATTAATTGATAGAAGACTCGTGTTTGATTCTTGTGTGGAGAACATTTATGTAAAGTAATTCCATTCTTTCAGCCGGGATCTTGTATCATTTGCAGATCGGGTTTAGCCCTGACATGCAGGCTCAAAGCGTACCTCCTCGATGATCCTAATTTTATGGGAGGCAAAAAACGCCTACTTTAAAAAAAAGGAAATTAATTTGCTTCTTCCCTGCACTACTTGGTGACCATAATTACTTACTTACTTACTGATTGACTTACTTACTTACTTGGTTGGAGAATAGGCATCCTTGCAGGCGGCACAATGTCATAGCTGCTCCTCCCTCCTCTCCAGGATCCATGAAAGGGTGTGCCTGCTGATCGTGGTACTTATCAGCTGGTTGGATATTCTAGTGACCATTATTGACTTAAAGATAATTTACTTCTTTTTACTGGTGAACGAACAAGCAAGCAATCTGATGCCGTATTTACCAGATTACCTCAACCTCTTTGGTGTTTTTCCTCAGGCGCAAGAGGTGATTTCAGAGAGTGGTGAGGCAAAGGACGAGGAGTATGCTTATCCCGACGTGGGTGACGCGTCCACTCTGGGCCCACAACCCTTCACACCACTTGCCCTTCGCAGGAGTAGCAGCATCAGCATCCCACTGTCCACGTTTGAGGTGAGGAGAGACAGATTTAGTGCGGCTTTCAGAGAACAATAGCGCTTTCTTTCATGAAATGTGGTCTTTCTGCAGCCTTTCTACTCCTTCTCAGTGGGTCCTTCTTACTGCTGTCTTTCAGCCGCACCCCTGATCTCCTGGTAGGAAAGATCTCCACCTAGCCTTGTCAGACAAGGGGGAAAAATATCGGGAGGTCCCGTTGCGCACTTTATAGATCCCTTTGTTGTCCAAAATCGATAAGAATAGGCTTTGGCCGCCACCAGAGCAAAGATAAACATTTTCTGCCAAATGAAAATGTTTAGTGTGTCCTGCGCACTCATATGACCTTATGGAGTTGCGAGCGCCACAAAACACGTACCAAAAAAAAAAAAAAGGAAATTTGGAAATGTGGCTCGTTGGCAGGTACAACACGTTGTATTATACGGTAATTGTAACAAGTGTACGTTCAATAATTACTCAGATTTATCTTCTTTTTACTTGGTAATAGAGGAAAAGGGATCTTTTTTTTTATTTCATAAAAGTGAAAAAGTAATCTCTTTTTCCATAAAAATGAAAAGGTGATATTCTCTTTTTCTGTAACTATGAAAGAGGGATCTACTCTTTTTCCATATACATGAAAAAAATAGTCTTCTCTTTTTCCATAAGAGTAAAAAAATTGTTTTCTGTTTTTCCCAGGTGAAAGTACTTAAGTATGGCAAGACCAACTACCGGCTCAAACTGACTGTGGATATCCACCAGGGGCGGTTCTTTGCTGTCAAACCATCAAAAGACCTACTGGATTCCAGCAACACTTTTCCCCATGACAAAAGTACATATGAATGTTGTGTGTGCCATGAAAGTAAAGTAAAGTAAAGTTGTTTTCGCTTCGGATCCGGACTTGGGGATTGCCTTGTTAGTGAGACAACTTCCTGGGCCTTCGGCATATTGCGATAGGGTGGCCAGTTCCTTTCCACGCCGCCTGTATTTCCCCAACTCGAAGTCAGGTACCCATTACTACTGGGTGGGCAGGAGGGGGTGAAGAAAATCCGTGTCCGAACTGAGGCTCGAACCTGGACTTTCCGCTTCGGAGACAAGGGCACTAACTGCTCGCCACCACACTGGCACACCCTCCCATGAAAGTAACAGTTTAAAAAAATAACTTTTCTCATGTACAGTATAAACACTCTTTCAAACACTCGTTCACCTTTACAATTTCAAAGGTTTTTTTCCTCTTTGGTAGATTTCGTTACCTTCAGGTCTAAAGAGAATTTCAGCATTATGAATTAGAACTTTTTTCATGAACACCAGAAATCAAAATTAGAGACACATTTATCGTCATCGGGACGTTGTAACGTTGTCTCCTGTCCATTCTAGGTTTGATGAAAGGTGAGGCAGTCTAAAGCGGTTTTTCTCTACGACATAGGTCTCACTCAGCTTAGCTCTTTAAACTCTGTCGGACGGCTGGAGTGTCCAGTAGTAATAACCCTGTTCCCCATCAGATGCTGGCATACTAGTGACAACTGTTTCGTTTTACTTAGTGGTAGTATTTACTTGTTTTTCGGAACTATTCCAAAACCAAGTTTTTTTTTTGTAATGACTAAGCCTGTGTTTCCATGATTTAAAAGTTAGACTCAAGCTTTTGGGGTTATCTTGAGACATAGTGTACCAGGTTTAGGTGACTGTAGAAATATTCCGGAAAACTGGAAAAAACTCAGGGTTTAAAGAGTTAACTTTACTTACTCCAAGCAAAAACACGGACGGTGAATGTGACACTGAAAGATACTCTGTACAATCTGGGATCTTTGCTTTTGGAACTTGTCTGTTTTTTTATGCATGCACCTCCAGAAAGTTTATTTCTTTGCTTTAGTTGCTAAATAAAACCTTTACTCACTTTTAGTCCTCACCTAGCTGCGTTTGTTTTTGGTTTTTTTTTTACTAGATTAGTACATGTACCCACCCTACCAAAATATGCCGAAGGTCCAGGAAGTTGTCTCACTAACAAGGCAATCCCCAATGTCCGGATCCGATGCGGGAACTACTTTTAGAACATGTATATATACTTACGCTTTCGAAAACCTGCTTGTCATGGTTCTTTTTTACATTTCAATCTTTTCTCTGTCTGTGAGAAGGGTGGGGGGGTTGAACTGCACAAACTTGATCTTAATTTTCTGTCATTTTTTTTTTTTTCAACTTTCCTAGTTCTGCAGCTTGTGAAGAACACGACTGACAACAGCAGACTGCACCTGATCTTTGACAACAAGAAGAAGTACACGTACCAGTTTGAGAACGCGCTGGCCCGGGAGAGTTTCTGCCTGCAGATCCGTCAGATGAAGTCTCTGCACTCCCAGGAGCAGGACGTGGACAACATCTCAATCTTCATCGGCACCTGGAACATGGGTGAGTCGCGTGTAGTTGGTAGTGTGTAGTGTCATCTTTAGTTTGTTTTAGTAAGAGTTTTACCACACTCGCAACTGGTAGTGTTAAGTCTAGTTTGTTTTAGCAAGAGTTTTACGGCGCTCTCAACTGGTCGTGTGAACTGTAGTTTGTTTTAGTAAGAGTTTTACGGCGCTCACAACTGTTAGTGTTAACTCTAGTGGTTTTTAAAAGTTTTAGTAGAGGTTTTACGGCGCTCGCAACTGCGTAAGGTCATATGAGCGTCTGAATATTAGAGGTGTTACAAGGGAGTAACAAACATAAAAAAGAAGAAGGGGAGAGAAGCACGATAGATGTTTGATAGGAAAGAAGAATCAAACCACACCAGAGCACCCGCCAACCACCCACAAACTCTAGTGTGTGGTTTATCGTGTAACAGTGCTTCCCATTCAGGTGTTGGGTGTTGGGTGGGAATAGCTCTGCCTGGTGTGACCTGTTCTTGCCACTCCTTTCCTTGCTACTCTTGTCTTAACTCTTTGACCCTTATTGTGTTGCAAGTCCTGTAAAACTTTTATAATTTTGGTTTTAGTAGAGGCTTTACAGCGCTCGCAACTGCTTAAGGTTATATGAGCGCCAGAAGATTTGAGGTGTTACAAGAGAGTAACAGACATAAAAAAGAAGGAGAAATAAGGGTGATAGATGTTTGATAGGAAAGAAGAAGCAAACCAGGCCAGAGCAACTGCCAACCACCCACTGTAAAACTCTTACTATGAAATTGACTGGCCACTTTGTTCTCCCAGGTAAATCGGCCCCTGTGGATACCCTCAAGTTCTGGCTCAAGTGTAACGGGGAGGGTCGGAGCAAAGACCGGACGCTGAGCCGCCTTCCGCACGACATCTACGTGATCGGGACACAGGAAAGTGCCATGACAGAGAAGGACTGGATCAACACCATCAAAGCCGCGCTGAAAGCTTCTCTCAACCTGGATGTGGACCTGGTAAGATTACTGGCTAATACGGGGTGCCCACCATGGCTGGATCGGGCCGATCGCCCGACTCGATCGCCTGAAACTGAAAACAAACAAGTTTGTTTTTGAGGCGATCGAGTCGGGCGATCAGCCCGATCGGCCGATCCCATCTGTAGTGGGCATCCCGTATAAGATGGAAATGAAGTGAGTTTTTGCAAAGAGCGAAAGCTAGAAAGAAAAAATATTCCCATTATAGACGCAGTTCTGTGAAACTATGTGAGGGAACAAAGGTGAAACAAAGTGAGGAATTAGATAATCTCTAAGTGGTAATAATAAAGTGGTAAATAAATAATATTGATCTGAAGGAGGTCTTCAAAAGGAATAGATGTATATTTGGAAAATGAAGGATATGCCTGAAGTAAAAGACGCCCAGTCATTTGCCCAAAACATTTGCTCGGACTGTAAAATTAAAAGATTATAATGATATGATTTAAATGCTGGTCTGCCTTTATTATCGGATCATTGTTCGACAAAACTGTCTGTCCATTCTGGCAAATGCCGATAAGTCAAATGTGTGCGTCTTGGACAAATACCTGGTTTGCTTTGCAACCATTTTACAACATTAAATAAATGTTCGTGATATAAAAATTAGTAAATGTTAAGGCTTTATGTCTGTTTTTTGTCTTGCGTTTGAAAATTCCCAAATTGTACTGGACCAGTTTTGAAAAGATGATTTTTGAAGATCTTGTTGCTTAACTAGGGTTTTTTTATTTTACAAGCTAGGGTTGTTCTGCGATGAACTTTTTGTAAAAATTTTTTTCTCTGTTTCTGAGATATCTTGTTGTACTCACTATAAATTTGTTTGTTGTCTTCTAGTTGGAGTCATGCTCCCTGTGGGGTTTGCGAACCCTTGTGTTCATTAACCCGAGGCATCGGAACAAAATCAGCCACATACAAAAGTCTTCTGTTCGGACTGGCATTGCCAATGCCTTAGGTGAGTACAATAGTAGAAAGGTAGTTGGGAAATTTGTTATGTCACCAGACCTCTTTAACATCTACATTGAAACAATCCTTAGAAACATAGAAGAATGTCCTGGTCTTAAAGTAAATGGAGAGAATATTAATAACATCAGATATGCAGATGACTCAGTTTTAATAGCAGGCTCCGAAAAGGACCTTCAATTTCTTCTAGATACTGTTGTAACAGAAAGTGAACGTAAAGGATTTTTGTTGAATGTAAAGAAAACAGAATGCATGGTAATACCCTAAAAAGCAATAAATCCTATTTGTAATTTCATTAGCAAAGGTGAAAGGATCAAACAAAACCGACAGTTCAAATATCTAGGATATGAAATAACATCTGATGCCAAATGTTCTATGGAAATAAAATGGAGAATTGCAATGGCTAAGGCTAGTTTCAATAAAATGAGCCCAATCCTGAAAAATAGAAACCTCTCAATGACTACCAAAATGAAAGTTCTGAGATGCTATGTATGGTCAACCTTCTATGTGGCTGTGAATGCTGGACAATCAGTAAAGACAGTGAAAATTAAAATAGAAGCAACTGAAATGTGGTTTCTGAGGAGACTACTGAGAATATTGTGGAAGGAAAAGAAATCAAATGAGGTACAAGTAGTACATGATGAAGCCCACGTGGGATTATCAATGTTAAAAACAATCAGGAAACGACAAATACAGTTTTTGTGACACCTGAATAGACATAAAGGTCTTGAACATTTAGCTCTCACTGGCAAATTTGAAGGCAAACGAGGCAGGGGTAGGCCCAGAGCAACTTACTCAGGAAACCTAAAGAAATGAGTAACGAGGAGCGATCAGGGAAACGTAGCTTTTTTTAAGAGCATCCGAGCAAAGGAATGAATGGAGAACCATAATCGCTGATGTCTGTCACAGATCTGGCACTGGATGATGATGATTATTATTATTATTGTTATTGACATTGTTTTCGTTTTTTTATTGTCTTCAAAACCTATGATTTGTTCCTTCAGGTAATAAAGGTGCTGCAGCCATCTCATTCTTGTTGAGTGGGACATCCTTCTGCTTCATCAACGCTCACCTGGCCTCAGGAGAAGAGAGACTGGACAGGTGAAGGAGATTGTTTCTTTTAGTGTGTTTTCTTGAATGCTGCTCATAATTGTTACTTGTTTCTGTATCTGTCCCCGGGGTTTTATGCACCCCGCATAATTTAGCAAAAGTTGATCATTTTTTTGCATAATTTCTGATTATTTTCCTATATCATTCTGTGTTAAAATGAACAGAATCTCATAATTTCACATTTTTGGGCTCAGTTTTCATAATTTCAGGGGGATTTTTTGCGTAAAAACCGCAGGGACAGCTTTATTGCTTGTTTCGGGTGAATTGTTTCTTGTAGAGTATTTTTTTTAATGGAGCCCATACTTATTTTTTGTTTTGGGTGGAAGGTTTCAAATATTAAGCCCTGTGAGGTACAATATGAGCATTTTGAAAGCAGATTATCGCAGCTGAGAGACAAGGACTTGGAGCCGTTTAGGTCCAGAACGGGCATTTTCACATTCTGATCTTTTGAAAGGAACCATTTACTCTTCAACCTTCAAATTTTAAATGAAGGTAGCTTTCATTCAATATTGGGAAGAGCATGATGGAGGGAGCACAATTTTCATGAAAAGAAAAGTGGGAAAAGAAAGGTGATTGAAATGTGTGATTTCATCTTCTACAACAGGAGGAACGCAAACTTCCGGGACATTCTGAAAAGTCTGAGCCTTGGCCCCAAGAACCTTGAGTGCTATGACATCACGCACAAGTTCCACCACGTGTTCTTCTTTGGGGACCTCAACTACCGCGTCACAGAGCCTGTGGAGGTCAGTTATCTTTGGCTGCACGTTTGTAGAATTGCCGATAAATGCCAGTGTATTTTGATGGCTAAGTGTAAGACTAATAATTATAATAATAATAATATAAATGACATTTATATTGCGCTTAACCCCGATTAAAGTACACAGACTCTGAGCGCTTTACAATACAGTAAAACATACAACAGTAACATAAAACATAAGACTAAAAGAGAATTACTCCAGATATTCATCTTATTAATTTAAATACTCTCATACTTTACTTTTCTGATCCAGCGGCCATATGGGTTCTAGCCCTTCGACCTGTCGATACGTTAAAGAATTTACAGGTTTTTATCAGCTGTGTTTTGTCGCTGTATTAAGTATTTCCGATATCTTTGTGTGCGTGCGTGTGTGTGTATGTGTGTGTGTGTCGTCGTGTGTGAATATTGTTTGTACATGCATTTATGTAAAGCGCTTAGAGCTGTGTTTACACGGGAGTGGGCACTATAGAAATTATCTTCATTATTATTATTATTATTATTATTAATTTATTATTAACACCTATATTGAAAAGACAAAACATGTTCTTTCTCTCTCTCCCAGCTGGTGCTGCGTCGCCTGGAGAGAAGGGAGTTCTCCGGCCTCTTGGAACAAGATCAGTTGCGCCGATGTCAGTTTGAGAAGAAAGCTTTCTTTGGCTTCAGTAAGTAGATATGTATCTAGACGTAAACTGGGAAGAGGTGTGATTTGTTGGCCTTATGACTGATAAATTGTCATTGTTATTTTTTTATTTTTTTGGTGTGATTTTTTTTTCTCTTGTTTTTGTCATTGCTGAATGGGTTCATAGATTAAGGATATTTTATGTGGCTGGAGGGGGCAGGCTCTTTGAAACGGTCTGCTTTTTTTACCTCTGTCCAGTTTTTCTTTCAGTTAAATCTGTTCTTGACAAAGGGTAGGCTTAACTTACCACTGAACATATTTGGAGATGCACTTTTAAAATATTTTGTTATAATGAAGAGAGAGAAGGAGTATTGTGGGGTGGGGGGGGGGGGGGGGGGGAGAGAAGAAATTTGCCTTGCTCAAAGGCTAAAACGGAGATGGGACTAACCGCCGAACCCGGAGTCATTAGAGGGGGAGGGAGAGTTAGAAAGAGAGAGAAGAGTTAAAGAAAGAGAGAGAAATATGAAAATAAAAAGTTTGAAATGTTCCACAAAAATACTGACACCCTGTTTTTCTTTTGCTCCAGGTGAGTCTGAGATCACCTTCATGCCGACGTACCGGCTGGAGCGACACACGGCAGGGTACAAGTACGACTGGAAGAAGGTCAAGGCCACCACGGTAAGTGTGCACACCTGAGACCTGTCTGTCGCAAATATATTTCTCATGTTCATTCCACATTCAGATTAATCTCTAAGAGAACAAAATTGCTTTATAATAGGGAATTGCCAGCAGTGTGATGTGGAGGGGAAGTTTTACACAGTGTGGGAAACGGCTTAGGCGGTGCTACTGACTGAAGGGTCTTTAGGCCGTTCCCAAAGGGGGGACATTAACCTGTTCTTTTATGCACAGTAGAATTGTAAATGGGCTGATTCATCAATGTCATGCTCATAAATGTGCCTGAACTGCAACTGGGAACTGCTGCTTTTTCTTTCCTAATCCTTACTATCACCATTTTCCTCTACTTCTTTTGTATGTTTGTCACACTCTTGTGACCCGCTGTTTCCGGAGTGCCTTGAAAGTTGAAACAGACTTTGTGCTGTTGAGGCTAGAGAGGTGAGCAGAGTAAGTCTGATTCCCTGTAAGGATTTCTCTGTTGACATCCACCCCTTGGCGCTCATATGACCTTATGCAGTTGCGAGCGCCGTAACACCTCTACTAAAACTAAAGGGGAACAGCTTTGGACCAGTCAGGACCGTGGTCAGTCTTTTTCTTCCAACAAATGTGAGAAGTGCTGACAATTCTTCTCAGATTTTAGTCTTATGGACATAGGTATATGTCAAATTTATAAGTTGAGTTTGTACAAAAGTCATGTTAAATTTGAAAAAAGTGATATCAGTTGAAAATCTACAAATGTGACGCCTGTGTTGATTGAAGGCAGATATCTCCATTCGCAGATTGCGATAAGTAACTCATTTTGTAAGCATACTTCAAACCAATAACCAAAACTTGACCTGAGCTTCCCCTCAATGCAGAATGTCTGGTTTCCTTTTTAACTATGTCATGTCCATGAATGTTCAAAAAAAATTTGCCTTCAATCATAAGGCCAAGATTCTTGCCACTGACCATGATTTCAATCATTTCACGTTGCACAAATGGTGGAATTACCGGTTTTGTTCATCTGAAAATTGTTTACTCTATCTTTGAAACTCCATTTTAGAAGATGGTAACGTTTTGTCTCCGGCTTTTGAACAAACAAGGGAAAGCCTGTCCTCAGACTGTTTCTATTTCTATCCCACAGTATTGTGTGTTTTCCAAGCCTGGGTTGAAACCAAGTTGCTATTTTCTGTTTTAACCCTTCCCGCTCCAGCCATTTTTGTGCCCTCCCTAACCCCAGTCCCAGCAAAATACAGCAGAATTTTCAGAAAAAGAGGCAGGCATTCCAAAAAAAAAGATGCCGTATCTTTATAATGAGGTTTAGATGATTACATAACAATGTTTAAAGGTAAATGAACAAATATTATGACAATTAAAGTTTAACTAGGTTCGCTCATTTTTTAAAATGCGCATCCTCGGTACCCCCCGAAACTGAGAATATACCCTCTTGGGACGACGGGATGTACAAGCGCTGCTGAAAATATACACGCGCATGGGGCTGGAAGGTTTAACCTGAACGAAGGGCTTCAAACTGCCGAAAAATTGATGTAGACCCATTATATCACTCCTTGACTGCGGACTCCAAGGACGGCTACGTCAGTTTCTCAACACATAATCCTTCACTGTATTTTATAGTACTGATTTGTTTTATTCATTCTCATGTCGTCTTTGCTTTTTTTTTCTTCCCGTATTTCAGGAACGCATCAATGTGCCATCTTGGTGCGACCGTGTCCTGTGGCATTCCTTTCCGGGAACGTTTATAGAAAACACAGCTTATGGTGAGTTGAGATATCTCTGTCTCCGTTTGCTCGGTAGAGGGTCAGCGAAACTGAATACATAATATTTATGTACAGTGACGTTTCTGTAAAAAGTAAATTTGTTCCCGTGTCCGATTCGGACATTTGGGATTGCCTTGTTAGTTTGACAACTTCCTGGGCCTTCGGCGTATTGTGGTAGGGTGGCTGGTTCCTTTTCACGCCGCCTTTATTTCCCCCAACTCAAAGTCAGGTACCCATTACTACTGCAGGAGGGGGGGGTGGAAAAGAAATATCTGTGTCCGAACCAAAGGCTACAGAACATACCATAGAACATAATCAATACCACAAAAATAATCGTGCGCAAAGCGGAAAATGAGCATTCATAGGTAAACTGTATGAATGCTGGGAATGATAGTTCTGTACACACTGGCGTAACAGAATATTAAAATGTGAGGTTCACAGAAGGTCCAGCACCTACTGCTTTTTCATGGAGCAGCTGATTTGGGGTTTGATTTTGAAATAGAAAATACTCTTTCTCCTTTGTATCTCCTCACTCAGAGGATAAGTGTCATTTTAACCCTATCCGTACGTCGTGTTTTACTATCGTATCCATACGACGTGGGGAACTCTGAGCCACCACTTTCCAATGAGGAAATTTACTCGTTAATCCGATCCGTACGCTTTGCATAGTAGTCTGTCAAAATGATTTTTTGAGAAATACTGAAAATTTCAAAGAGATCTTCGCTCTAGAAGCATTCTAAAATGTGAAGAATACAACCCTGGGGGTACAAAATGACCCCAGGGCGTACGGATAGGGTTAAAGCCTCTTTTGTCTACTACATGTAAGTTGAAGCTAGGTATTGAACCCTTCAATAAGTCGCTATTGGGTCAGATACAGGTCTCCACATATCTCGTTTTTGTAGTTGTAAAGAAGGGTATTTTTGCTTTTTTGAAACGTTGAGCAAAGTTGTCGCAAAGACCTGGAGTATGTCGTAAACTAAAACTGGATAATGTCACAAATCATTCATTGTTTCATGATTTATCAGTTCTTGTTGAAGCCATGCTTAAAGGTCAAGGTTTTATGTCTAAATATATTTACAAGTTTTTTTACTTATTTTAAAAAAATGAAGAAATAAGTATTTGAGTTCCCCTTCCAGAGCCTGGCGTCTTTACATCTAACATCTACATGCTGATTGGGATGAGTTGTCCAGTTGTCACCTAAAAAGTAAAAAGTCTTACTTCTTTTCCTATTGAAATGTCTATGGGAGCATTGTACCGATAAATTAGCCTGTGTACTTTAATTAGGGTTGAGCGCTATATAAATTTCATTTATTATCATTATTAAAGTGTTCCTCTTTCACTAAAATATTCATTTCCATGTGCAGGATGTGTGGAGAACATGCTGAATAGCGACCACCGTCCTGTGTTTGGTTCTTTCACTGTGGGCATCGCGTCGCCTTTCATCCAGAACCGGGCGTCGTTACAGGACAACTACAACGTGAAGTTTATCTTCAAGACTATAGAGGCTCAGGTAAGGAGGAGATCTTCTGTGGTTTATGTTGTATAAGTGTAACGGCCACAGATGGGTGACGGCGGGGAAAGATCTGGTCTGGATATTGTCGCTCTCTTGGCCAGACTTCTCATTCCTTTCTTTCCCGTCAAACATCTATCGTCCTGATCTCCTAATGCGGGTCTTTGTCGAGGGGGATCGATGAGCTGCCTTGCACTGCCTGCTCTCTCTCTTACTGTCAGTTGTAATATTGACTTTTTCTCAGAGAAAATGTACCTGTGGGTGGTTTGCGGGTGCTCTAGTATGGTTTGCTCCTTCTTTCTATCAAATATCTTCGTCGTCCTGTTCTCTCCTCATCCTTTTTTATGTTTTGTTACTCTCTTGTAACACCTCAAATCTTTGGGATAGGGGCGTTAAACCCATACCATTTCACCATTTTTCAAATCTTTGGCACTTATGACTTACTGTGTTGCAAGTGCCGTAAAACTCTTGCTAAAACTAATACTCAACTAAACAAACTTCCCGTTCTGTCGCCCACCACAGATCAAGACCAGCACCAAACAGTTCTACATTCTCGAGTTTTCCTCTGCTTGTTTACCCGGTGAGTTACTGCAAATGTCATGTGATCTCTCGTCTGTTGTAGATTGTCGGTGCTACTCTTATCGTGTTTTGCCTAGCAGAAAACAGCAGTGCAGCATGTGCACGAATCTGTCGATTTAGTTTTTGTTTTTTCTATAATAAAATGGTGTGATCTTGTCTAATGTGAATGCACTGAGCAGCTTTAAGTAAATGTCTTAAAACAGCAAACTGTAATAGTATTTTATTTAGAGAATTCTCCCCCCTCCACCCCTTTTCTATTTGGATTATTAGAGTAGACAGGGAAAGGAATGGAGAATGTGTCTACTTTTATTTCACATTCTAAAGAATCTGTGCTCATCTTTACATGTATTAGAAATTAGCATAAAACAATTCATGAAGCTTTTTATTTATATTTGTACAAACTGTGAAATGGTTTTAGAATGGTTACATTGTTTGCGTTTAATCTTAGATGTTTAGGATTGTTTGACATTGATTGACATAGTAAGAATACTGGTAAAATTTGTCCTTTCTGTTAAATGAACACCGACAAATAAACATGAACCATGCAATAGCTAGAACGCAGGTGAAACTTAACTCTTTGAACCCCATTGGACGCTCGTCCGGCGGTAATAACTCCGTTCCCCATCAGAGGCTCTTTCATTGGTAATAACCCTGTTCCCCATTGGACGCTGGGAGCGTCCAGTACTAGATCTAGTGATAACAGTCTGGTTTTTTTAGATGCTAGTTTTTGCTTGTTTTTCGGAACTATTCCCGAACCAAGTTTTTTAGTAATGACTAAGCTTTTGTTTCTGCTATTTAGAAGTTGGTGTCAAGCTTTTGGGGTTATAATGAGACATAGTGCACCAGGTTTAAGTGACTATAGAAAAAAACTCAGGGAAATGGTGGAAAAAACTCAGGGCTTAAAGAGTAAATGTCCTGACCCATCTGTCTCCAGACATCATCTGCTGTGAGTCCAACAAACGCTTCGGGGACAGTCAGAAGGCAGGATTTACCAACAACCCAATCTGGACAGCTGAACAACTGCCACAGGTAGGGCGAATAAAAATTTGGATCTTGAATCACTATCATTCAAAACAACGTTATCTTTCCTCAGTATATGTATATGTGTTTCAAAAAAAGTTTTGTTTTCTTGAAATCCCCCCTAAGATATGCTTTATTTTCTTAACATTAGAAAGAAAAATGTCTTTCTGTTTTCAAGGCAGGCTGAAGATATCCTTTTATGAAGAGAGAGCAAAATGTATTTAAAAACAGTTTCTTTTTTTGGAATATTTCTGTTTTCCAGCTGTTCACAAGATTTTTCAGTTGCTAGTTGTCCATGTGAATGTCATATCCCCGCCCCACTGCCTCTCGAGAACAACCACCAGTTTTTCTCACCAATATCTCCCACCCCTCCCCTTGCTGCATCTTGAGGACAACCATCAGTATTTCTCTCCAATGTGTGTGTGTGTGTGTGTGTGTGTGTGTGTGTGTGTGTGTGTGTGTGTGTGTGTGTGTGTGTGTGTGTGTTTGTCTGTTCTCGTGGTGAAACACCAAACCAGTGTGCCAGGACAATAAAGATGTATCTTATCTTACCTTCTCCTCTCCACCGTTCCTCCCCCCCCCCCCCCCCCCCCCCAGCTGCGTCCTCTGTTCGGAGACGTGGACTATCTAGAAGACCAGCACCTACTCATCGCCGTGAAGGGCTCCGGAGAGGACCACGAGTCATACGGTCAGTGTCTGTGGGTGGTTGGCGGGTGCTCGAGCATGGTTTGCTCCTTATTTGTTATCAGACATCTGTAGTTCTTATCTCACCTCCTTCTTTTCTTTGTAAGTTACTCTCTAATAACGCCTCTAATCTTGGGCACTTATGCGATCTATTTGTGTTGCATATGCCATAAAACTCTTACTAAATCTGAAATAAACTAAATACGGTCTGTGGTTTGAACATAGTATAAGATGGCTGTTTACTAGGTTTAAAAGTTTTTTAAAAGCTGTGGTGTCCTTGGAAACTGCTTATTCTATCCCTGTGGTTTTATGCACCCCGCATAATTTAGCAAAATTTGATAATTTTTTGGCGTAATTTCTGATTATTTTCCTTTATCATTCTTTGTTAAAATTAACAGAATCGAATAATTTCACATTTCTGGGCTCAGTTTGCAGAATTTCAGAATTTTTCTTGCATAAAACAACGGGGACAGGCATATCTACATTTTTTGTGCCCTTGATTAAAATTTTTTTGTAAAATATTCTTTGGAGTGTATTATTTTTTAATAGACATAAAGGTTTTCAACCAAAAACCAAAATTCTATAACAATTACCCTGCCGCCAGAAAAGTAGCAGTTCCTTCAGTTTTATTATTTTGAGGAAGGCCTGATTTCACCACGATGCCACACACATATATATTTTGTTGGGTTTTTTTTTTTTAAATAAGAGTTTAATGATACTGAGGGTACTTGATTAAGCCTACTTGAATCCAGAACTAGGGTCTTCAGAAATGGATGTTATCCAGAACTCCTTGCAGGGTCTGTCTTAAGATATTCACATATTCATACTGATGGTCTCCATCAATTACTGACTGCTCCTTTTTTCCTATAAAAATTCTATCGTCTCTATCTCCCCTCCTTCTTTTTTGTGTTTGTTACTCTCTTGTAACACCTCTAATCATCTGGCGCTCATATGACCTTATTGTGTTGCAAGTGCCGTAAAACATTTACTAAAACTAAAAACTCTCTTGTTATCTCTAACCTGGAAATGACTGTTGCCTTTTCTCTCTCCAGGAGAGTGTGTGATATCTCTCAAAGACATGTTTGGGGGTGAGCCGTGCTACTTTGAGGCCACGATGACGCATTATGGAGAGGAGACGGGAAAGATGAAGTGAGTCGAGGATTGTTATCTGTCCGACCTTGTGGTTTCTTGAGGGGGGCATTGCGCTGCCAAGAGCGAAATGCTCGCAGCTAAAGGGATTTGAAAACAACAACATCTGTCTGCCCTGATGTTTTTGGTCGTTTTATTATGTGATGATGTTTGTAATAATGTAGTAATGAGTGGTATTGGTAGTCTAGTGGTTAGGTTGTTGGACTGGATTAGCAGCCTATTTAAAAGGTCATGGTTCGAACCCTGTCGGGGCCCCCTGATGCTGTGTCCTTGTGAAAGGCACTTTTGTATAATTTCCTTTACATCTCCCGGGTGGTTTGCTTGTTTTAGTATAGGTTTTACGGCGCTCGCGACTGCATAAGGTCATATGAGCGCCAATCCCAGATGGGAGGGTGTATCCAGCTATTGATGGTGAAAGGTCTTGTCAGTTTGTTAGTGACCAGAATTTCTTAAATTTTGGGTCAGGCTGTCCCTGTGGTTTTATGCACCCCTCATAATTTAGCAAAATTTGATCATTTTTCGCTTAATTTCTGATTATTTTCCTTTATCATTCTTTGTTTAAAAAACACAGAATCACATAATTTCGCATTTTTGGGCTCAGTTTGCATAATTTCAGAATTTTTCTTGCATAAAACGACGGGGACAGGCAGGGTTGAAAAAATGTTGCTCAAATATCTGTGGTGGCCAGTTCAATACTGCTCGTATCAACTTATAGATGCTTCTCATGTATGTGTATGTTAGTAGTTTTGAGATCTTTCCCTGTTACAGAGAAGACTTTGTGTGCTGTGTGTTAACTACCATAACAATCAATATTGGGGAAAATATTGAGAAAGTAATCCTAAGTTGTCCTCCAGCTTTGCCAAGCATTAGACAATGAAATGAGATTCCGGCTGAGTATCTTTAGGCTTTAGTATAACAGCCCCAACCCCCCCCACCATAACAATCGATATTGTAGAAAATTTTGAGAAAGTGATTTTCAAGTTGTCCACCAGCTTTACCAAGCATTAGACAATGAAATGAGATTCCAGATTAGTATCTTAAGGCTTTAGGATAACAGCCACCCCCCCCCCCCCCCAACCATACCGAACCTCCTAACCTCATACCAACAATAACCTTTGACTTGTAACCTCAGGGGTGAGTGGTACATCTCCCTGGGAGGAATGCCTGGCCCCAGCTCTCGCTCCAGCAGAAAGACTTATGGTGAGTACCAAGTAGCACACTGAGCCTGGGTCAGCGAACGACTATAGTACAGGACACGTTACTACATGCTTTTTTCAAATTGCCATCATGAGTTTTAATTTTAATATCTAAACTTAATTTTTTAAAGTTATTCCTCTTATGAAAAGACACGTTGGTATGTTATCCAACTGTTTTGTTTTGTTTTTTATAAAGCAAGTGTTGCTTTACAAAAATAAATGATGTTGGTGATTTTTAGCCTGGGTCAACAAATAGCTATAGGACACGTTACTATATGCTTTTTTCAAATTGCCATCATGAATTTTAATTTTAATATCTAAACTTAATTTTTTAAAGTTATTCCTCTTATGAAAAGACACGTTGGTATGTTATCCAACTGTTTTGTTTTGTTTTTTATAAAGCAAGTGTTGCTTTACAAAAATAAATGATGTTGGTGATTTTTAGCCTGGGTCAACAAATAGCTATAGGACACATTACTGTACATGCTCTTTTCAAATTGCCTTCACGGATATTAATTATAATATCTCAACTTAATTTTTAAAAGTTATTCCTCTTATGAAAAAATGTGTTGGTGGTATGTTATTGTTTTGTTCCAACTATTTTGTTTTGTTTTTTTAAGCAAGTGTTGCTTTACAAAAATAAATGATATTAGTGATTTTTTTAGTGTTTTCAGTTGTATTGATAAACAGAAAGCCTAAAGTTATGTTGATACCATTTTAGTTCAGACATGAACAAACAAACAAAGAATGAAAACAAAAATTCATAAAATGGGTAAGAATGCTATCTATTATTATTCGAATATATCACAATATTTATTTATCATTTTTATATTAATTTTTTTGCTACTGGACTCGTAATCGTGAGATTGCGGGTTCAGGGGGTTTGAGCCTCAGCTCGGTCCGACGTTGTGTCCTTGGGAAAGGCACTTTACATGAACTTTCCACTTGGCTCGGTCCTTTCGGAGATGGATGTTAAACTCGGAGGCCCCGCCTCTTAAATAACCTAATAGTGTTGACAGGGGCGTTAAACCCGTACCATTTCACATTTATATTAATTTCTTTGTCGCTTCCGTCATCCCAGATTTTATTGCCCTGGACACGGAGTATCGTGACCCGGAGGAGTTCCTGTCCTTGTCTCCTCCCGTTGCCGAGCCGGGGCAGGCCAGCCCATTCCTCCTCTCAGGGGACTCGGGAACCTTCCAGAACAATCTGGCCACTCAGACAGGCGAAGACGAGCTCAAGATCACCATCCCGTCCCACTACGTGAACCACAACGTGATAAAGAGAGCGCCGTCGGACCCTGTGCCGGAGTGTCCCAAGTTTGAGGACGGGGTAGAGCAGCCTCCGCCGATACCAAACAAGCGCGGCAAAGCTCCGTTGATGGGTCAGCTCAGTCTGCAGGTCAAGGCCACGCCGCAGGGTGCCAGCGGGGGTTCGGGTCTGGCGTCGAAGGAGTCTTCACGAAGCCCGGAGATATCCGGGAACTTCTCCCTGTCGCCTCCCACGACGGGCGGAGAGGTGTCGTTTGCCGGAGGAGGGGGAGCGGATCGAAGCTCAGGAGGTAACCGAAGTCATGGCCAGAAGTATCCTAGCAACCACGTGTTTGGCCCGGCCTCTTCCTCCTCCTCCTCCTCCCCGGCTCTCTCTCAGCAGCACAAACTGGCCACAAAAGCCGACGGAGCTTCTCCTCCCTCCCCCGCCGCGGGGGTCAAGCAGAAAGGAAGACAGGGCGTCGCTCCTCAGGGCGCAGGGTTCAAAGCCGGAGCGGTGCGTGTGATGGACGTGGACCCGCCAACCCCCCGCACTCCCCCACTCGTGTGGCAGGCCAGAGTGGATCAGGACAGTTACCTGCCGGGCATTCAGAAGCCCAAAGTGGTTCCGACTGCCCCTCCCATGCCAGAGCAAGAGGTATGTGTGTATGTGTGTGTTTGTGGGTGTGTGTGCGCATAAATATATATTGCATGAGAAGAAAAGAAGTAGTAAGAAAGGTTTTTGAACAATGGGTATTCCAATGTAAAGCGCATTGAGCTACTTTTTTGGAAATGCGCTATTATAAGTGTTATATATTATTGTTATTACTATTATTAACAAGAAAGGACGTATCTTCTTTTCTCTCTTTTTGTTTTTGTTTTTGTTGAGGTTTTACGGCGCTCGCAACTGCATAAGGTCATAGGAGCGCCAGAAGATTAGAGGTGTTACTAGAGAGTAACAAACATAAAAAAGAAGAAGGGGAGATAAAGAGGATAGATGTTTGATAGGAAAGAAGAAGCAAACCACACCAGAGCACCCACCATCCACCCACCTTTTCTCTCTCTGACTGGACTCCCGTTTTATATCACTTGTTTGGTATTTCTTTATCCCCCATTTAATATTTGGAATGCCTTGGAAGGAGAGTGGGGTGGGGTTTGCTGTTTTTTGTTATATTGGGTATAGGGGCATGGCGTTTGGAGTATTTTACAAAAAAAAGTAGTTTTCTTATTTCTTATCTTGAGATCCTACTGTATATCAGCCCGATTCGCCTTAAATCCAGCTTTTGCGAGGGAAAAGAATTTTCACTCTAATGATGAGCCTCTTCAAATCCTGGTTTTTACCAGATAAATCAGCGGAGATTCTTCTTTTGTGAACATGTTTAACACTGAATAAATTTACTTACTTACTTATTTTTACCTTTGACTTTTCTCCCCAGATATACCCCTCCATCGCCATACGTCCCTATGAGGAGCTGAAAAAGCCGACCAACGTACAGGAATGGCTCATCGGACTGGGCTTGGCGGAGTACACGTCTTTATTCCTGAGGAACGGATATGATTCCATGAGCTCGCTCTCAACACTGAACGCAGCTGGCATTATGAAAATGGGCATCCGCGACGGGGAGCACCACATGCGCATTCTGAACAGTGTCCGGGACATGAAGGGGCGGTCCATGTGACCATGGCTTTGTTGATAGGTCCGAGAGTACTGTGCAGCATTCTGCTCTTGTGTTCATGGGGATCCGACAGCATTAAGTGAATGTGTAAAGACTAGCTCCCTCTTTCCTTCCCTCTGTTCCTCCCCCTCTCTCTCTCTCACCCATCCTCCCCCTTTCTCTCTCTCACCCATCCTCCCCCTCTCTCTCTCGCTCTCTCTCTCTCGCTCTCTCTCTCTCTCTCTCTCTCTCTCTCTCACCCATCCTTCCCCTCTCTCTCTCTCTACCATCCTCCCCCCTCTGTCTCTCTCACCCATCCTCCCCTTTCACTCCCATGTATGTACTCATCTACATACTCACCAGCGTCGTGTCTGTAATGGGAATACCATTGTTCGCTCACTCGGAAGGTCAGTGTGATGTGCTGCTCTTTACACTCGCTCTGCGTTATACCGGATCCCCAAAGTGATGTAGACATATACAGTGTGATTTGTACATAGGTTCATACTTCCGGCATTCCTCAGAAGGTCTCTATGTCATTACCCTACCCATTGACTGACTGTACAGTCTAAGAAATGTCTCGTCTGCTCTTGCCCAAATTTTCCAACATTTTTTTTTCTGAAGGACAAAAGGCAGACGTAGGTCGGACACTGTTAGGAAGAGTGCGAGAAACTTCACTGTCATTGGTTCTGACCAACTGACGCCCCTGGTGTGTATTTACTCGCTGCTGGCTCCCTATTGGTGGTGAGGAACTATCTTGGATCAGCACGATGATGTTTTGTGAATAGACTGCCCTCACGCGTCGCATCTCGTCGTATCTGAGGGAGCCCATTTCTCATTTCTTCCTGACCTGTCAGATATTTCTCTTCACTTCCGCCCTTGAGACTGTGATTTATTGGACAAACTCTCGAGAGTGCAGGATTTGGAAGAATTCAAGGAAATGTGGATGAGGTTGTATGGATACCTTGCAGGCTTTGGTGCTGGGGGAGGGGGGGGGAGCACTTATGGACCTGTCCGGTGTACAATTACGTTGTTGCCCAGGACAGGTAATACAGGTAATAGATGGATGAGGTTATGTATGGGTGTACAAATACAAGCCGATGAGTGAAATGTGAAGAATTGACTTTCAAAGAAAGCTGTAGCTCAACGAGTGTGGAAACGGAGAGTGTTTTGTGAGTTCTTCAAATGATCTGTTGGTGTGTGCCAAATGTATGGAATGTGTCAATTATTTGTGACCTTTGACATCATAATTTGTACAAAAATAAACCACAGCAGCTGCAAGAATCTGATTCACAAGAGAAATCACAGAATAGTCGTATTTAAAGCTCCTGTCTATATTTTTTTGGTGTAATTTTTGTTAGGCTTTGAATACAATTATTTTGGGATTTCAATGTACAGAAAGTACACTGCTTGACAAAATGTTCACAGCGGCACTCGTTCACCACTGTGCTTCTCCTTTCTGTGTGTTGGTCTGGCCTGGGGGCAGTCTCCATCAGCTGCCTCCTGCACGTGCAGGAATTTCATAATTGTGTCTGCTCTGTGAAGGGGAATTTCTGTGAAAATTAGTCATAGATATGCTTCACGTCGACTTAATGCCAAGCCACTTACCTGAATTGTCATCTTGCATCAGAAGAAAAGAGAATAAGTACTGACAGACAATATGCTGAGGAAGCATGGAGCATCCCGTCTTCCTAAGACCCCAGTTCTAGATTCAAGTAATTCAAGTAATGCTCAGGGTTGCATGGGATTGTGTTCTGTCTTCCCAACGTGACTTCAAGTTCTTGAACTAACGAGTCTGGCCTGGCACCCTCCGAAGCCAGCCCCAAGTTGCTGAAAAATACCATCGTAAAACAAATCTTGCTACAACATCCACTTGCTTCCAGTTGTGGCATTACGTGGTGAACATTTTCAAAATGCAACTTGTGTCTTGTTTTAATAGCTTGCTGGACAGAATTGTTTATTTGAAGAACCTTTACGTGTAAGATTAGTCATAGCCCCTGAGATCGCAGGTTGCAGTATTACTAGAATTAGTGTACAGGTGCAGCACCCCATTATATTTGATCGACATCTGTCAATGTTTGGATGTTCAAAGGTCACTAAGTACCGTACCAAATGTTATTTTACTGATTTCTGTATTGATTACATGAAATGATTTTACATGATTTTTAAGAATTCACGTTCTGTTTCACCTAACAAAGCTGGGGTGGTATGCTTTGTATGAGTGCATCAAATTACTGTAACAAAGTTTTTGTGGCAGGACACATGACTCAAGTTGTTATCGGTATACATGTACTTATCAAGATATCCATAAAGTTTAATACAGTAATGTCCTGTAATGCACTAACAATATAGCCTCAAACCCACATGAAATGGGGGTACTTTGTGAGGTGTACTTCAAATATCTTGGCTTGTACACACTGTACATTTTTAAAAAGTCGTTATAGTATATAGAATCAGCTTTATTATGCCTTTTGAGAATTCTCTTTGTGTTGAAGGTTTCTCTTGTACTTGTACAGTACAACTGGGGATATTCCAAGGCCAAGCACTAACTTTGGACAGTTTTTCAGCACGCTCACTTGTCTCTTTTATTCCTCGTTAAGTTCTCGGATAATGAGATTTTTACAACTCTCTAAAGTGTTCACTGTTTCTTTTTTTTTTTGTGTGTGGTGTGAGTGAGCCTTGTAGCCAATGTTTCTCAGCTGTGTCTCTGTTGATGAAATATTATGTAGTTATATTAGTTGAAGTTAACTCCATTCCATTTTTACAAAACTTTTGTGTTTGTGGGTTGTTGTTTTTTTGTTTCTTTTTGTATCTTTCTGTTTGTAGGTAAAAATTGTTTGAAGTCAAGTGTTTCCAATAATATTTTTAATTGTGGATTTTTGCAAAAGTATTAAGCAGTTTAGCATCTTCATTGTATATATATATAAGTGGGTAAAATAGGTGCAGTTGGTTACATTTTTTTATCAATTCTCAGAAGAAATTCAAGATCCTTACCTGGTTGAAATCATATTTATTCTCATGGCCAGTCCTGAATCTACATGGGTGAAAACTTTTACCAAATTCAAAATAGTAAAATATCTTAACTGCACTCACACATGAAAGGATACTACTCTATATTTAGTGGCATAATAGAATGGCTTTTTAGTGATAGTTTTACTTCATTATAAATAGCAAAGTTTTTTTGGGGCTTTCTTTGCTTACTTTTTTGGCAGTTTGTAATGTAAGTTATGCCATGAATTCCCACTTCATTTCTCAGGAATCCTTGTTTTGCTTCCTATTTTTTCTCTATGAAAAAGAAAACCTTTTTTTCTTTAATACTCCAGCACCTTCGTAGATAGACCCTGTTAATGTTCACATTCCCGGCTGACCGTATTAAGGTGTCCATTGCAATATCTTCAGAAAGGCTTATTTGTGTATTCAGGGTGTCATGAATAGAAGGGAACCCAATATTTCTTATTTAAGAAATTCCAGTACATTTTGTGTAAATCCAAATCCGTTAGCAACAAGGTAGGCTCGTGTGAGGCTATATTTGAATTTTTTAAACACTAATAATATTAATAGATAGCATTTGTATAGCGCATATCACCGCTCAACAGCAGGCTCTATGCGCTTTACACTATATTAACACTATTGAAGTATAAGGAAAATAAATAACCGAATACTATTAAGAAAACTTGCTTTTAGATGCAGTGAGTTCGAAATGGGTGTTTCGACACGTAATGTTGCTATGATACTTAACATTTTGGCGTCTCATCTCGCTGATTGTCGATGTTTACCAGCCAGTTTCTTTGGATTTTCCCCAAAATATGATGGCAAAGTGTTTAAAAGAACAGTTTCAGAGCAAAAGATAGAAAAACATTCATTAGTTGTATCTGATGATATTATGACTAAAATATTGGATTATAGTGTCGGATAGCCTGATTTTTTAATTAACGAAACCACAAAACAACGGTGATAGAACATGACATCCAAAAAGTCTCAGTATACGAGATTTGATCCTTCTGTGATAGTTGTTCATTACATTCTGGGACATTACTTACACTTCCTGTGGTTACTAAGGATGTATCAAAAAGCTTGATTTATTCGTACAAAAATTTTTCTTTTAATTAGTCTTTCAAGAGAAATCAGTGTGTCGAACCTGAGGAGGGGTGACTTTTTAACGATATTTCGGCATATTATTATTAATCTTTTTTCAAGTTTGCTTCAAGGCCAAAGTAGTGCTGCTTTGGATATGGTAGGGGTTGATTCCATCTCTTTTGTTTCCCATACCTTTTGACTCAGACAGTTGTTTTTTTTCTCAGAGCTAGAGCTGCCCCGAATTGTCTGAGCATGTAAATGTAATTAGTGTGCAGTTTCAGGAAACTACGCGATGTGCTCGTAGTTTTCGTGCTGAATTCTAAAAGGCCGAAAGGGAAGTTAAAAAAAAAAAAGGTTCAGGTTTCTTAACTGCTTAGAATTATAATTTGGTTGTGTAAAATGCTTTGTCATCTACATGTCATTTTCACAACTGTGTTGTAGGGACAGTAGCGTGTTGGTCAAGCACATATGTGAGGCGGCGTGGTGAACTCGGACGCTCGTCAAAATAATGAAAGTCGAGAAATTGGCATTTTCCCGCGGGTTTGGGAATTTTTATTGAATTTTTGTTTTTTGGTTCAACACCTTTCAGGCCCCATTACAGAGCACATTTCTGTGTGGATTTTACTGAAAAACGTTATTTAAAGGCAGAAGAAATGTAAATTTTCAGTTTCCGATGACTCTCAAGCTAAAGAAATAACTCAACTTTGGCGGCCAGTTTCTCGCTAATTTTACCTCTGAAACCAGATGACCCCTCCTCCTTCAATCACCCATATCTCGACTTCTACTATTCGACATAGATGGATTTTATTTTCACCCAAAATGAGAAAATTGGACAGGCCTTAAGATGATACCATCAACTCCGCATTCCCAAAAATTGACGAGAGCCTGATTCGGCCGCGTCGTGCCACATATGTGGTCCTTTGAGTTTGTCTTCCACTGTGTTCTGCAGGGCACAGGAGGGAAGAAAACTGTTTACCCAAAGTCTGAACCTTTTGGAAAAAATGAAGTAGGAAAAGGAGAGGACGTTTTTGTTTATAAGATAAGATAAGATAAGATGATACTTTATTATCCCAGAGGGACATTTTTCTTGGCTGTACAGGACCGTAAAAACCCTTCCTGGA